GTTGCTCTTTAGAGCCCGTCACATTGCCTCGGAGCTACGATGAAATGCCGATGCTGCCCGGGACGAAACGGCCCAGAAATTTTTGAGATGGCATGACAATTTTCAAACGCCTTTCAAGCTTTTTAATAATTTCAAGATTTTTTGGACCTATTGGGTGCTTTATCTTCTGTGAATTAATAAAACAGCTCTCAAACTCGGTTTACAATTGAAAATACACTCAAATTTCCGTACGTTTAAATTATAAACTTTCAAGTGTGGCGATTGATGGAACGAAACTAGTTAATGCTCGTCACAACTTTATTCACAACAGCTGGCATCAATTTTGAATCGCACGAAATAACTAGGCGCGGGGTTCGTTTTTCACAACACGAAATAAAGATAATGGGTCATAGAGATCGAATTCAAATCGAAAAATCATAGTGCTGGAAAGATAGAAAATTAGTAGAATTAAGCATTGATTATTTCTTGAACTTCGGCGGCAGTCTTTCGGTCGATCACCACCGAAACCATCGTCAGCATCGCCATGATTTTTTGTTGATAGTCGTCGGCTTGCTGGAAGTGATAGATCTCCGTGTGATTTTTTGAACCTTTTTTTCTTTGGGGGATAAAAAAAAAAAAAAAGGGTTAAAATTTTATATAAAAATAAAGTTGCGAACCTTCTGAACCTTAGCCCTGAGCTTCTGATTTTCCTGCTCGGCTCTGATGACGTCCGAGCGTAGGGAAGCAATTTCCAGGTCTTGATGGACTCCCTAAATGGCAAGATTTTTATTAACTGATGAAAAATAAGAAATTAACTCAATACATCTCAGAAAAAACTTACCTTCAATAAGTCGTCAAGCTGATTCTGAAGTGTAGGCTCGGGCGGTGACGGACAAGGAACTACAGGCAAAGCCCCGGAATCGTAGGGTTCCGGCGCATATTGGGGTACCGTGTATTGGGCCACTTCGTACTGCGGCCCCGCATACTGTGGCTCCACGAACTGGGGCCCGTAAGATGCCTCGTTTTGCATCATCATCTAGATTTACCCAAGATAAAATTATCAGTACTCCAAGTCCCTGAATATATTCCGGAAACCCACCTCGTCTTGAGCTCCCAGCATCTGATGTTCTATCAGCCAGTGCTCATCGAAGACGCTGAAATATTTGAAATCGACTGAAGCCAAATCTGAACGCTTACCGCTTACAACTCTCCGGTTTTCTTTTCACATTGGCGTAGATCTTCTTGATCTGATCCAGGTCAAGCTGGCCGAGTTCATCGGCGTACCTGGAGTTTGTCTACAAAAATAGGATGTTGAAAATCCGGAAAATACCTTGTCCGTGATATGTTGCCACATCGAAAGTCGCTCCGCGTTGCTGCATCGACTTCGAGAGTTTAGCCTTGAAAATCAAAGGCTACTTCACGTTAGAAAAAAATACATTACTGCCGCGGCGTCTTCATCTCCCAGCCGTTTCAGCCAATGCTTGGCCAGCGAAAAGACAACGGCAACGCGCTGCTTTCTAAAGAAACCTAATCCCTTATTTCTTCGGCCCTTTCTAGATTATGTTAGAAATTTTCTATGTTTTTTAAAAATTTCTTTGGGAAGAAAGTACATTATTATTAGAAAATGGAATAAAATAAACAACCTCAACTGAAGCCGCAGCTTCCGATCGGATCGATGGCCCTCCATCTTGGCTGCGAATGAAAGAGCGCGAGGAGGAGCCGGTGGGTGGGCACATCGAAGGCTCGTGATCGGGGCACCTACCCAGCCGGGCTCTCAAAAAACATCGATATTCCAATCCGGGCCCACAAGCAGGGCAGCATAGGCAATGAGAAATGCAGATTCACCGGGCACCAGGGCGCTAGGGTATTGCACTTGGCAAAATCGATCCCAATGTGGTGTTGCCCAGAAAATTTGAAAACAGGGTGGAGCTGCGCGTCTGAAAAAAAAAAGACCAAAAAAAACCATTCCGAAAAACAGGTTTTTAGTTCCCCATACATCCAAAGGGTTTATGAGAAATCCCGTAAAGCGCGAGCTCTACGAAGTTAGGTGTTAGGTGCAAGGTGTAGGTGTTTTGCATGTTGGCAGGCATCTGATTTTCAGGAGCGCATAGTTGAAAAGGCAATTACGAGCGCGTAACAGAGCCTGGTTTACGAGATTTGAAGTTTCAAATCGGCTTGTCGTGCAGGGGACTTAATCAATCTTTTCACGAGATTCGTATTTATTTTCTGATTAGCTTATTATTATAATTTATTTATTTATCATCGAAATGCGTACATTGCTTCTCACCGTGTGTTTTCAGAAAACTTATACTTGCACCATTTGGTGGGGCCAAGCAGTTGGTCCAATATCGCTAAAGCATGCAGCTGACAGCTCGGCTAGTCGAAAGCAGGATTGCGCAGGGTCACCGGGGTCTCCCATGGATGTTCTCTAAACGTCCGACAGGTTTCCCGAGCTTTCAGACCTGGGTTAACATGATGATTTTTGCATGTTGTCCGTGGAGGTCTTCTATAGGATTTTCTGTAGCAAGATCAGCCCTAGTCACCCACACGCCCGCAAAAAAAAAACAGGATCTCGATTTCGCCGGGGAACCTCTATCGAAAACCCTCTATTCATATGTGGCACTCGCGTCCCACATACTCGACACTCTCCACCCCTGAGGTAGTTTTGAGTGCCATCTCCTTTCTCGACACCACCCACGGTAAATAGGTGTATTTCGGAGTCGTAAATTGGGGGTGTTGGCCTCGACTCCGGTCGATTACCGGCTTTGTTGTATTTTCCTCTCGTGGCAACTCGAGAGTGGGGGACGCCCATTTCTTGGCTGGTATTTTTCATGGTTCTCTCTCTCTCTCTCGCCATTCAAAATCCTTGCGCGCTGTTTTTGGCCGCGGATATTGATCAGATGACGGATTATGCCATGTTTTCTCATGATTTGCCAGGAATTCGTTCAGGCTTATAAGTGTTATTAATGCTATTATTAGCATTGAAAATAAATTGTCCAATTATTAACGCTGGGACGGTTTCTAAGACGTTTTTTTTTGGCTTTTTGTTTACCCTTAACATTTTTTTGCGTGCTTTTTCTGGCATTTTGGAATTTACGGAGGATTCAGGGAGTTTCGTTTCAGATGATTTTCCACTTCCTACTGCTCGTCCTCACACAAGCCTCTCCGCTTCCAGAAAATCCAGCGCGCCAAAAGCGCGACCTGGATTTGGGCTTGAGTAAGTCATAAATTGAAAACCACCAGCTCATTGCTTTTTTTTTCAGAAATGAAAGGCCCGCTGGAAATCACATTTAACGAAAAGGACTCGATAATCCAAAAATTCCTATCTGAAATCGGGGAAGCGCTGACCGACTTTCGGCAAAACATGACTGATTTTACGAATATGGATGCGAAGGTAATAAAGTTTTTTAACTATGTTTAAGCTCTTAGAACTTCTAAGACACTGACTTTCAGCCAGAACCGCTTTTTGACAAAATCCCACCGATGTTCCTGTGCGATTTTTGCAAGGCGACGATCAACAGGTTGAAGCAGCAACAACGGGCAGATGGGGCTGATTTTGAAAAAGTAAAGTTAATAATATTCCAGTTATGTTCTTTTTAGAAGCAAAAAGAAGAGTGCGCAAATGCTAGCAAGGACGATCAACAAAAATGTGGGCTGATCAATCAGGTAGAAAAATTTCGAAGTAGGCTTTCCAAGGTTAGGATCTTATAAACACTGATCTATTTATCTAATTAAACCGGCAAGATCTCAATTTACGTGTTAGATACGCTACCCTTTCTACTCTTTTAGGTGAACCTCAACCGACTACAAACCGATCCCGTCGAGACAATTTGCATCGAGGAGAAGCTCTGTTCGCCAGGGTCGATTGACGTTACAGAAGTAGAGGACGATATTTTTGCCGTAGAGAAGGCTAACGATACAGTTTCTGATGGTGGCCCTTATTAATTGCAACGCTTGTTAATCCTAATTCTAATGGTGCTATTTCCATTCATTTGATCTTATGCCTAACCGATTATTTCCTCACCTTACGGTCTCTTTTCTTTTTCTGATACTGTTTAAAACGTTGCGGTCTCTTTTTCTTATTGTCTCATTTCATATACCTTCTTAGTTCGATAAATCCTACTGACAATTCAGACTAATCGCTCCGAAAATAACAATTAGCACAACTATCAGAATTTGACCTGTATCCGAAACATCTAATCTCGCAAAAAGCAACTAATTGAAAACCATCTTTCGAGGTTATAACTTTGTGACTTTTAAATTAAAGGTATAGTTAATGGCATGACATTAACATTTTGAGAATATGTGACATACCTAATCAATCTTAGGTGTCTCAATTTCCAGTGAGCTTCAACCAAATTCAAACTTACCCATTTTCCAATGCCATTCTAATCCTGCTAATCCACAACAATTTCCAAACACTAAAATATTAAATCTAAACCAATTTTAGGCCAAGAAAATAATCGCTCTCCTCAACCGGGACCCGAGCAAAGGCAGGCTAATCGAATTGTATTTTTCACGTTTCTCTAGGTCCCCGCCATTTCAACGCTGTCGCCGATATTCCCGTGGGTTTTCAGATGATTGTCGGGTGACTTTTAATCGTAATAAATTTATTCCGAGACTGTACATACATAATAATAAAATTAAAACAACAGACACGACTTGGATGCGGCGAGATACGGTTTTTGGGTAGCGGGTACACGAAGCGGCGCGCGGCTTGGATGGGGTCAGGGGTCCCGTATGCGATCGACTATAAGCTTTAAAAACATACTACAAAATATGAACTACAGACAATAAAACGGCAATAAAACGTTGGCAAGACTAGGTTTTGGGAGGGGAGATCAATTTTTGGCACTCACAGGAACTCGCGGTGGAAAATGACGGTCCAAGCTATAAGCTACGAATTTTCAGGGGTAAGGCACATTTTGGTGGGTCGGGAGAGAATATAGAACAAAAAGCAAGGTACTATACTATTACAAGACATAGAATTGATGTAAATGCGTAAAAACCGGAAAAATTCACTCGATGCCACCCTGTATCCGGTGCCACATGCAGACGGGCAGGCTGTGTTTGCGCACCATCTAAAACGATGATTTTAACCTTATTTTGAGAGATTTTCAGAGCGAAATTGTTTCGATGGATCCCTATGAATGCTCTAGACATTATATATAATTTTGTAGGTTATTAATACATACCTGGAGCCAGTGCGATTGGCCGGTACCTCCCGAGAGCCGCCCAATAACGCAGTGGCCGATAGAGACCGGACCGTCGGTCGAGTTGTCAAAGACCTTAAATAGATGGACATTAGGATCTACACTATTAATTCTAATGATCCTTTTAAAATCCTTATTTATCGTAATACAATACCTCAATGACAATATGCGCCTTGTCAAGCTTTGTGGGGGGGACATGGAAGAGGAATGACTCGGAAAAGGCGGCGTCTCCGGAAGTCGAAGACAAGGACGAGGAGACAGAAGAAGAAGATGGTTTCGCGGAGCTGCAAATAGATAAAAGTTGATTTCATGTAATCTTCGTACTCGATAGATGACGTGATTCCCACGGACGGGTCGACAGTTGTCTGCTTCTGCTCTACCAAGCGTCGACCGTCGAAAAGCATGATTCGGGCGAAAGGGGCTTAAATATAGTCATTTTATCCATGTATTAAATTAAAATAATAAGTTCATGGAATCCACTTCAGTCCGAAAAACATACAAGTATTATACGGCAGCATTCTCGCCTTCTTGACCGTCACCGTCACGAATTGGACGAGTGGAGCGTATGTGAGAATGATAAGGAGTTCGCGGCTGGTGTACGCGTTCTGGAACATCGAAATTTAGCTACATTAACATCCTATAACCGTACGCAAGATCATAAAACTTCAAAAAATACCTTGTTGGCATTGTAGGCCATTTGGAACTCGAGCTCGTCGTGCTCGTTTGAAGTACGCGCGAGACGTTCGGGTAGCGCTTCTTCTTCGGCCTAAAACAATCTGGTTTTAGCGTCTCATGATAAAACTCGAGTTGAAGACAAGGTACTACAACGTCCTAAAACGCACCTGAAGCACCGTATCCTCGAAATCACACTCAAAGAACGTTCGATCAGCTGGATCCTCGTTTGCCAAGAATTTGGTAAGCGCGTCCTTGTGCGGGGCCACCTTTTCTTCTTTTAGTTCTGAAACACGATATTTCATTTAATTCCCAGATTAAGTATATTTGCAAACTTGACAACTCATTAGTTTTTCGGAAAACTTTTTTTTCTTTCGGAAACCCCTTGCAAAATTCCCCCAAATCCTCCAAAAACCTTACCTCCATGCCTATCACCCCATTCTCGGTGTTCATGTTTGGCTGGTCGACCATGCTTCGTACCATTTGGCCGCGGATCCCTAAAGTTACGGTATTTAACCCGAATTTCCAAATACCTATGCGTCCTCGAGGCTCTCGCCGCAGGAGCGGGCTGGTTTTTTCCGGCCTTGTTGAAGTTCTTCGGGCCCCATCCGGATGACGGGTCGGTTCCGGCCTGGGAGGCTTGCTAAATGGCACCCTTGTACCGCAACGAAGACTTTTAATACCGGCTTGTGTAGTTGGACAGCCTTGTGGGGGAGGTTGACGAACGATTGGTACTCGAAGAAGTGCTTGGCGATGAAGTTCATTCCCTAAAAATTTGACGATATTTTGGGGTTATCAGGGTTACGGTGTTACTTTTATAATTAGCTGGTTTTATTTTTAAGATCTTTGTCATTATTTTTATGACGCAAAAATTTACAGACGTTGCAGTCAGGCATGGACACAATTCTATTTCTCTCTCTCACTCTCTCGCTCTCACTCTTTCTCTCTCTCGCTGGCTGGCTGAAGAGGCATGAAAGTTCTATTTTCTTCCGACCCCCTCAACGCACTAATGAATGCGGACGGGTGCGTGGATTTTGAAAAGCCGCTCCCCCTTTTTCCAACAATAGAAGCATTTTCAATTATTCATCATGTCTAAAAGGGACGTGTGGCTGGGGTTCTAGCAGTTTTTTGTGGACACCTTTTCGAGTTTCATGTCGTAATCAGTACGGATTAGTGAGTGAGGGTAAACTATAGATTTTGCAAACCACTTCTTCCACTGACTCGATGGTCACTACCGCGAGGATCTTCTTCACTGCGAGACGGGGTGAGGGATAGGGAGTGACGGACGGGTCGCCGGGGTTGAGGGGCATCCCGGGTATGTTTCTTGGGCCTCCACCAGAATACTGATGACAGGGAGGAGACCATACAGCTTGACTCTTCCATTACGGTCGGAGTGGCTGTATGGCTAAGTCATTAGGCCATGAACAGGTAAAGATCAGGAGCGCGAGACAGAGAGAGAGAGAGAGGGAGAGAGAGAGAAGAGAGAGAGAGAGAGAGCAAGAGAGAAATCGAAGGTCTGAATTTTTAGAAAAACAGCGAAAAACTCGATCGTGAGATCGGCAGAAGCCGAGAGAGGCAGGGACAGAGCGCGATACAGACAGAGATAGCTAGACAGAGAGAAAAATAGAGGGGGAGGAGAGGGAGGGAGAGAGAGAGAGAGAGAGCGAGAGGGTGAGCGAGTGGGAGATATCTTGCTTTATAACCAAAGAGCTAGAGGTAGAGCAAAAGAGAAAATTTGCGCTGTCGCGCTCCCTTGAAAACACATCAGAAACCCAGATTTTCGAGGCAAAAAACCAACAAAAATTAATAGCCCCGAAAGCCGAATGTGAAACGGTGGTAGCTGGTTGCTGAGTGTTGGTTCAGCCCAAAAGAAGGGGAAGGAGGCAAACGATCCATTATTCTTCGAACGACATGGCCACACATCTCCTTGGGCCCTTCTATAGACTCTCCCCCGCCGCTACACGACAATCTGCCGAAAGCCTGCCCGGCGGTGCCATTTTTGGGTCCCCCGCATTCCGACATTGGCCTTCTTTCCCCGGGCGGCTAGCGGAATTTCCCGCGCCATAAGCCGTGGCGTGTTGAAAGGCAAGAGTTTGGCGGCGCGGCGTTGGATTAGGGTGTTTATTTTAGAGGCCGAAATTGGTTTGAAAACTAGGGAAAAATGACTTTTCATAACTTAAAAAAATTTTTCTAAAAACCCTAAACAATCAAAACTAAAACTTCCAGAACGGACAAAACAAAACTTAATTTTTTGGATAAATAAATTTTTTATTTATTTTTGGGTGTTAAAAAAAAAAAAAAAAACAGAAAAAAAAAAAAAAAAAAAATTAAAGTGTTTTAAAAAAAAAAAAAGAAAGAGGGGGGGGGGGTTGGTGGGTAAATAGTTTTTTAACTTCAAAAAATTCATGAATATGGCTCTAAAAATAGTAGTTTTCAACTGGAAAGAATGCGAAAGCATTTTTTAAGACATTGATATCTTTTCAGCTTGTCATTTTTGAAGCCTACGAAGCTTAGAACTTCTCAGAACCCGATTAAAAATAGCTGTCTGGGTGGGCTAGCGTATGGAAGCGGTGCAGCGTAAACGGGGGTTGCTGCTAGAGGCTGGGAAAGCGGGTAGTCGATGAATATTTTAGACAAACGACGACGCCTCCGAGACGCTCCCCCCTAACAGCCCACAACGCGGGCCAAGGAAGGGCCAAAAAAGGCCTTTTTTTTAATCCTAGTGCTCTGCAAAGCCGTTATGAGCCGGGTGATGGAAATTAAAGACGGTCCTGTGGTGCGCGAAGTTCCATTCTCGATTGAGTTTTTTCAGCTCCCGGTTACTTATGGCTTCGAAGGGAAGCTAGCAGAGGTTGTGAAGGAATCCTAACGGAAAAAAGTGCAAGCTGGCAGGGATTCGTTGCACATTTTTTTGCGGAAATTATGCACTGGATAATAAAAGATACTAAAAGTGTCACGAAAACTTGGTTATAAAGAACAGGCAAGCTAGCAGTGACCACTAAGAAACCACATAAACATAGTTCGATATCATTAATGCGCAAATCAGCCAGGAAACGGCTAGGAAACTAGCGGCAACCTTAAAAATGCCTTCCCTTTTCCGCCATTGCTGCAAAAAAAACCCATGAAAAATTCACCACATCCAAAAACTTCCAGGGCAAGGGATGCCAGGGTTACGGTAGCTCAAGTTCTACGTTTTTAAGGGTTTTCCAAAAAAACTAATTATTAAATTCTTCAAATGTACCGCCTTCTGGAGCCCCAGTTTAAAGCGAAAATGGCAATTTGTTGGAAAAACAACCAAGAGTCGTCATTTTTTCCAGGGATGGAAATCGAGAAGCTTTCCGGGCAGCGGGGGAGGAGATGGAAAAGGAGAAGGAGCAGCAGCACCGACCCCGGGGTCTCAAGCAAACTTCGTTATGGTGTTGGGCGGTTGGCAGAAGGCCGTCCTCCCCCAATTTCCCTTTTAGTCAGAGAAAAAACCGGAGACGCAGAATCCGCTCGCTGGGGGCAAGTTTTGAGAGACCCGGATGCGCTTCTCCCCCCTCTGGGGGTGTCGCCTCCAATCAAAACCATTGAATTTGGGGTGGGGCGCTGGGCTTCTCCCTTTCCGGTGGTGTGCGGGTTCGGTCGCAAAGTTGATTTCGGCCCGAGGCTGTGTTTGGAGCCCGGTTCGCGGGGGAAACGTGATTGTTTCGGCGCGAGGAATTCGAGGTGTGCAAATAAAAAAAGGAGCAAGAGGCTAGGGTAAGGCTAGAAAGTGGCGCAAAATCCTATAAGGATCTCTGCTAGTACCCCTTGTTAATCATTTTTACTACTGAATCTAGCCGCTTAAACAGCCGATAAAAGGTTTCTGCCTATGAATCTCTGCTAACATGCCCTTTTTATTCTTTAGAATCCTCGGCTCTGAATTTTGCCCTGCTCAGTGATGATCTGCTGGTTCTTTGGTCTACGTTTTAGAACACGGAACCACCAAATTTTCTCCATGAATCTTTGCTAGCATGCCTCAAAAAAGCGCCCTACAAAACGCAACGCAACACGCTGTTGTAAAAAGGGCATAGCGGATTACGCGATCGAAAGGCAACGTCTTGCACGATGATTGTTGCTTTTAGGAGAATGAGGCTGTTAAAGTATACTAGAAAGTCAAGGCCGATTCCCACTTCATAAAACCCGAAAAACGGCTGCCCGGCCAAGCCCATTTGGATGATAGATCTTTTTGGCTTTCAGAGCCAGCGGGGGCATGACATCCAACTCCCGAGGGGGGTCGAGTCGGATGATGGGCTCCGGCAGTTCGCGAGTTTTTGACCCCGGAAGAGGGGCCTCCTTTTTTGATCTGATGATGTTGGCTGATAGTCCACAATGGGGCTGCTACTTCCGTATGCATGTGTACGCTAGAGTACTCGGCACGACATTGGGAGTGAGGCGTAATTTTCGAATAGCTTTCTGATGTGAGTGACTGACAGACGGATTCTGATGTAAAAACGCATTTTTTACCTAATGAAGAATCTTAGGCACGTTGCGTGCGCGGCGCGGCCGCTGCTGTGCCTACACGCAACGCGCACGCGACGCTCAAACAGAATTTTAGGTACCTTTAATCCTAAAAACCGCACAGGACCAACCTCGGGACTTGGCGGCTCGTCCAAGTTGAGTCGATTCAGGTAGGCGCCAAGTCGCTCGGAGATGTGCAGCAGTGAGAGCTCGGTTTGGGCCGTCGACGATACGCTTTTCGAGTGGTCCGAGCCGGAGCCCCTGAAAAATAGCACTTTTTTCCCGTTTTTCTGGGTCCATCTAGTATCAATTTCAAAGTAGGGGGCTCCTTAAGGGGGGTGGGGGTGCCGTGTGGGTTTTTTTTTTTGTTTTTTTTTTTTTTTTTTTTGTGGGGGAAAGGAAAGGGGGGGGGGCCCTCTCTCTCTCACTCTCGCTCTGTCCTCACCTGGAGCTCTGTTCCCGGTCCTCGTCAAGATCTTTCGGCAACCCGAGTGAAAAGTTCGACGGCGACTCACAGACCTCCTCCGAGCATTCCGGGTCGACCTCTGAAAAACGTCTGGGTTAGGCACAAACGGAAGCGCTTTTTCGAGGGAACACCACATGGATGCTTCAAGGTTTGAAAGGAACCCGACAAATTGGGTTCGCCTGGTCGGCTGGGTGGTCAATAGATTTTTTCCTGAGAATCGGTTTTTGAAGCTGGGTTCGAGGTTGTTATGGCTAAAGGGGATGGGAAGAGTGGGAAAAACATGAAAACAAAAAAAATGCAGGGTTTTAAATCAGATAAATTCCAAGACCGCGGAAAAATCCTACGGTAGCTAAATCCTACACAAAAAAAATGTCGCAGCCTCTCTCTCTAGCTCTCTCGCTCTTTCTCTCTCTCTCTCGCTCTCACACTTGCTCTCCTATTCTCTGTACTCTCTCGCTCCTTCTCCCTCTCTCTTGCTCTCTCCTTCCCCCCCCCCCCTCTCCTCCCACCCCACCCTAACACTCCCCCCCCCCCCGCAGCAAAAAACCGCACCCCAAAAAAAAAAAAAAACCAAAACTATAAGCAACCCACTCCCCACCCAGATGTTGTCAGAAAAATAAGTTCCAACCCAACTTGACGACTGGGTTTTGGTCGGCTTCTGCCCCCGGTGGGACCCCCGTATTCCTCAAAAGGCTAAGCCTCGACCGCAAGTTCGGGAGCCAGACCCTAGGGCCACCCCTTAATCTGCCCATGACTGATGGCTGGGCCTTAACGGGGGTGGGACATCAATGAATTTTCGGGTTCAGGCCAGGCAAAAAATGGGGGTGAGTTATGGTGGGTACCTATGCAGGGGTGGCTTCAGGAAATTTTTAAGGGGGTTGGTCGTCTGGGTTGGTCGAGGATGGGAAAATTTTGGTTTGGTCTTAAGCTTGTTAGGCTTAGGTGCAGACTCAGATTGGGCTTAGCTTAGGCTTAGGTTTTAGGTAGGCTTCGGCTTAGGTTTATCTTACAAGAGATTTTTGGTGCGCCGGATGCAAATAAACGTTTATGCTTGGAAAAACCGCGCAAAGTTTTGGGCGCAAACGATGAAAAACGACGAAAACTACTTGAACCTTAGTTCATGGATAAACTATCGTAAGGCAGGCTAGCAGAGATCCTCTAGGAAAGCCCGAAACCGCAGAAACCTCGAAAACATGGTGACCAAACTGTCTGACCCACCCGCAGATGCCAATTAGCCGCCTCCGTGAAACCCCAGCGGACCCCTAAGAAAGTGTCCAATTCCCCGACTCCACCTTACTCACCCTACCAAAAGCCAGATTTCTCAATTTTCGCGATTTTTTCCGGCTAAAGGGCCCAAAGGTGCGCCCTCTAAGGGCCCAAGGGTCCATTGGATCCAAGCGGAATCTGTGCCTCAAGATCTTTGACGTTTTTTGAGGGGGTCAACGCGTGGAAGGCAATTTCCCGTTGGTGAAAGTTGAGCGGTGTGATGGTTGGTGGTGGGGCGAGGGGCCATGGTGGAGAGGTCGCATTTTAATGAGATGGAGGGGAGAGGGCCCTCAATTTCGCGGCCATTATCCCCCGAGGACGAGCATCAGGAATTCGGCGAAGTTTGGGAGCACCGAACTTTTGAACCCGGGACACGTACTAAAGCTTCTAAATAAAGGAGTGGCTTTTGGGAATCGATTATGAAATGTAATCTTGGGAATCGTTAAGGTTCGAGAAACGGGTATACGGGTTACGGTAGGTCATCCAAGGGCGGATATCCCCCGGGCCTGGGATATAACGATTACTACATAAAATTCATCGTCGTCAGGATTTTGAGAGAACGAAATGTAATGTCAGATATAGCTCGATAGAAACTGTTTATGACAATGAATTTAGAATATGATAAGATGAGGCGGCGGTTTCGGTATTGCGTTTCGGGTTTTTTCGCGGTACGGGAGGGGGGAAAATTTTGGTTGTTTTGGGGGGGGGGAAGGAAAAAATGTAATAAAAAAAACCTATACCAAATTTTAACCAATTATACTAGTTCAAAGCCTAACAAATTATCTATAACAACCATAAATAATGGCTTGCAAGCCCCATTCCCAAGCTATTTTTGACAACCTAATCAACCGAGCGCTCCGGAAGCCTATAGAAAGTTGCGAGGCCCGCCGGGGGCAAATAGGCGCGAAGGTCAAAACAGACCGAAAAGAGGGGTAGTTGAGGAAGGCGCGTGTTGCGGATCAGATGAAAAGCCGAGTCTCATCCTCCGCCGTGTGTCTCGCCATACACATCCAATTAGACGAATGAGCAGTCTGCTCACACATACGGCATAGAAAGCATATGAGGAGAAGCTCTACCCGGGACTTGACCCGAAAATATCATCCAGAAGCGCTAGTTTTTTTTTAAGGAAAATACAAGATCAACCAGAAAAGCTTTCTAGAGATTTTTTCAGATTCTAGAGGTTGAATTCTTGTGTCACGATCAGTTAAAAGGGCTTAAAAAGGGGGGGGGGGCCCCCCCCTATCCCCTCGGGCCCCCCCCAGCCCTCATATGGCAAAGAAAAAAAAAAAAGTTCGCAAAAATATATGTCAGCGTCCTAAAATATCATTTTCATTCGAGCAAAGCCCATTCCCAATGTGCACCCAAAATTGCAGCCCTGCCGAAAAAAGCGTGAAAACGCGCGCGGATCCGTGCAGCTTATCCCCCAGCCCTGAAGCGGCGTCTCGGGTTACCCCGTTTCGCACGAGGGACCAGGGCCAAACCCCACCAGGGTCCCGCAACGACAATCCAATCATCCAATTAGACCCATTCCCCCTTGTCGGTGAATGGAGAAACACAGCAAAAACCTATTTGTTTTTAGTGGACAAATTTCTTCAGGTGCTCTCTAGTGTCAGTCCGGCTAATCCAATCATCTCGTGAACTTGCGCGAGAAATAGGATTTTAGGAAAATTCGTTAAGAAATCGCGCCAAGTTTTTAAAGATCTTTTACAGGGTTAGAAAGCCACCCAGAACCTCATGGAAAAAAATTTAAATTAAAAATCCTATTTGATGGCTTAAGAATTTGAATGAACCTGAGCTTATGCGTACGGCACGGAAAAAGTGCTTCTCGAAAAGCATTGCAAGCAATTTTAAGGATAGAAGACAATGCCCTTCTATGTGTTATAAGCAGAATTTCTATGACCAGCCTTTCTCTAATTTCCTTGTTCTAAAAATCAAGTTCTTTACGAACCATTTCTGGAGAGTGGCAAGTAGTGGTCGAGCAGAAGAGTGGAGGAATCGTCATAATCGCAAAGGTCTTCTGTCGCGGCCATTGAGGCGATTGAGAGGATATCTAGAGTAATGAATTTTTATAATTTTAAAAGAACCACACTAGGACTGCGACTGAGCAATGTTTAGGACTTGGCTTAGGTTTGGGCATAAGCTTAAGCATGAGCCTGTACTGAAGCTCAGGCTTCCGCTTATAATTAAGCTTGGGCTTAGGCTTGCGCTTCGGCTTAAGCTTCGGCTTCGGCTTGGCTTCATTTTAGGCTCGAGCCGGGCCCTAGTTTAAGGTTACGCTTATCTTTAAATCGTTCGCTTTCAGCGCGAAAAGTCTTCGCAAAATTTACTAACCTTCCATAGGTGGACAATGCATATCTGCCGTCACATCAAACGGACGGCGCTCGGAATCATGAGAAACGCTACTGAAAAATCCGGATTTTTAGCTACAGTATCTCCTCCTTACAGGCTTTTATCATGCAGTCTCCTCAACATTGCACACTTGCTTGGCTCGACGGATGCGGCAGATAGCTCGCTGAACGACTCGGCGCTGAAAAAGAGGGGATAGAAAATGTGGAGTACGGTAGAAGGGTGCGTTTTTCAAAAGGACAGCGTGGGTTGGAAAGCTGGGAGGATATGAATAGATATTGACAGAACAAACCCCTTGTTATTTAGTTCGTAAACTAACTACGAATTAATTAAACCTCAGCTTTTAGAAAAATTTAACATAATTTGTATCAATTTAAGAAATTTATCTTATGTGATCTTATGTAATTATGGTAAGCTTTCTAAGGTCTTCAAGGTTTTTGACCGTTATGCTAATCTTTCAGACTTAGGCATAGCAGTACTTTATAGCTCGATTTACTGCTATTTAACTAATTTAATGACGTCAAGAATAAAACTTTAATTTTACCAGGTATTCTCATAAAAACTATGCAAAAATTAAATTCATCAACTTTTTAAAATTAGCTTAAAATATCGACGCGGCTAATTTAATTTGTTTAAAAAACAATTATCTAGTATTCAGCCAATTTTTGAACGATTTTAATCGGCAAAAATTTGTAAAAATGGTTTTATTAACCTTTGAAATCATGCCGATTTTAAGAATTTAGCAAGACCCTAAAAACCTCAGTATTTCATTAAATTAACATTACCGAATTTACGCTAAATGTTTTAGAGTTGGATTTTCTAGCTTTTCCACAGTATCCCAAGCATGCAAAAATCGGCACCTCGTCCGGGACGACACTCGTTGCACCATTACAGTAATATATTCCCTGCCAGTACTTCACAAAACGCACTTTATTTATTTTTTTAATCGGATTTTGTAGCGTGTATCCTTGTGTAGTGTACAGTTTCCAATTTATTACTTGTTGCACACAAAAAAAAATCGGGCCAGGAATTTAATTAAATTCAAATTTGCTCATAAATCGATGGATTTATTGTTAGTGACGGTCACGGTGTCCGGGAGCTATTTGTCATTTTTGCATGGTTTTTTGGCTACCAATTTTGGGCTACCCATAGTCGCAATTTGTTGTGGTTTGTAGTGACGCTTAGAAAAATCGGTTCAAAAGCTCGAAAAATGCAAATTATTGGAAGGAAAAAATCGAATTTTGTGGAGAATCAGCTGCTGCGGTTTGGCACTCTGTTGCTTGTAGTAAAGCGGAAATTTCGGGCCTTATGTTTCGACTGTACAGACATTTTTGGGGTACGGATTTTTGGGATTACGGTATGTAAATTTTTTTTAGCCAGGGATGCTCAATTTCAAGGCAAAAAAGCTACGGTGGAGCTAAAAACGTACGTTAGAGCTACGGTAGAGCTGGACGTAGGCTTAGGTTTAAACTTAACGTTAAAAATTTACATAATCCCAAAAATCCGCACCCCCATCTTTCTACGGAAAGGACAAGTGTGTTGTGTGCGGGTTGCAGGAAAACAGGAATCCAAAACAAAACCATAAAAATTCGCGGAAGCGCATTACATGGCGATGGTGGCGCGTGGGCGATGGCTGGACGGGGTGGTGGAGGAGCCGTTGGTAGAGGAGGTGGTAGCTTCTTGCAGACGTCGGCGTTCCACCTCGATGGCCCGGCGGAGGAGACGGCGTTCGAGGAGGCAGTCGGCTGCTGGAAATGAGGGGTAATCGGTTTAAGGCAAGGCTTAGGCTTAGGTTTAGGCTTAGGCTTAGGCTTAGGCTTAGGCTTAGGCTTAGGCTTAGGCTTAGGCTTAGGCTTAGGCTTAGGCTTAGGTTTAGGCTTAGGCTTAGGTTTAGGTTTAGGCTTAGGCTTAGGCTTAGGCTTAGGCTTAGGCTTAGGCTTAGGCTTAGGCTTAGGCTTAGGCTTAGGCTTAGGCTTAGGCTTAGGCTTAGGCTTGGGCTTAGGCTTAGGCTTAGGCTTAGGCTTAGGTTTAGGCTTAGGCTTAGGCTTAGGCTTAGGTTTAGGTTTGGGCTTAGGCTAGGCTTAAGCGTAGGCTTAGCCAGCAGAATTTTCCAGAAAGAATCGAACATGGTTGTACCTTCCTAGTCCCTTTAAATAAGCCCTTGGGGCGCGTAGACATTTTGTTGAGCGCCAAAAAGCTGCTATGAGGCGCACTCACTAAGTCAAACACTTCGCCAAGTCTCGAAGACCAACCAGTAACCGGGCTGCTATTCCTCAGCATCCGCTCGGTGAACAGCTCGTCGTCGTCGGGGCCGTCGTCTTCGGAATCGGAGTGGCGATTTGGGAGCTCGCAGAGGCCGAGGAGGCATGGGCAAGAGGCTGAAAAACAAGTTTTTGAGCAACAGAGCTTCCTAAAGCCTCTCTGCTAGCTTGCCCATTCGCTTGGATTTTTCGAGATAGGTAAGTCAGAATTGAGGCTTTTCGGGCCTATTACGTAGCAAAAACGGTCAATTTTTCCGCGGCGTTACTGCTTACACCCATCTTGACAAGTTAATGCTTTAGAGTCCAAGCTATTCCTGACCCAGACTTGTCCCTGTTTTTTCATAGTTTCCGAAATTCGAGCCGGCCTTGGATCACTCAACGTCCTGTGTGTAACTATCTTCTTTGACCTCAAACATATCCTGGACGTACATCCCTAAGGTCTCAAATTTCCGAGGCTACCCCCTCCCAAATGTCAACTGATGTTCCGCGGGAATGTTTTCGGACATGGAGCCAATAGGAAGAAGATTTACATCGTCAACATGTCCCTAATAGGCACTATCCATCGGGAGATTCGGGCATCCGTTCGTAGAATAATTGGTAAGACGAGACAGTGAGCGAGGGAGCGAGAGCGAGAGAGAGAGTGAGAGAGAGAGAGTGAGAGAGAAAGCTCCCAAGTACGCCTATACTTTTATGGACCCATGGGAATACTTGTGCCCCCAAGGGAAGCACTACGGTAGCGGATGAATGGCAGATATCTGATGCCCTCTATTTTTCTGGCGCTAGGTAAATATTCTGAAATTTTACGCGTTGAAGTCGATTTCTGTCAAAAACAGCGATCAAAATCCCGAAAACTTAAAAAGAGCGCCAAAACCCACTGGTCCGAATTCGAAGCCGTTTCCGCTCCTGCCGATGGCTGTCCGGAATCGCATCACCGACCCGCTCTTCGAGCTGACCCTAAAAAGTTGTTAAAGATAGAATATTCACTTTTATTGGTACTTTTACACTTTACTTTACTTTACTTTTACTTTTTTAAGATACCTTACATATTTTGCGGTATTTTCTAGGCATCCAAAAAGTGCAAAAAAATTACCTGGCTACCACGACCGCTGTCATTGGTGGTGGAGGGGGATTTTCGGGAGCGACCACCGCCTGGAACAAAATTTGATTAGGAGAACAGAAATATTTGGGAGAAATTTGAAAAATAAATGCCGACAATCGAAATACCAGCCCTCAAAATACGGACATCATGAAAAATAGAAGGACCCAACACTAACTTCGCCACCTCCAGGCGTTTCACTCCTTTCAATGTCGGTATTTTTGCATTCGAGATTTCGTTTGTCGGTATTTTAAACACAAGACTTTTAGGCTATGCCGGTATTTTAGTATCGTTTTGGTATAGGTTTTTACAAAAACCAACCATTCCCATCATGAGCCAAATCCGCAGCGATAGTGTTCGAGCTCTGGCGGGAGTCAAGCCGTTTCTCCTTCTTCCCAAAAATTCTGCAAATTTGCATATATCGATTTTAAAATGTTAAAATTACTTTGCTTTGAGGGAAGCGAGCGCTTTTTTCGACGGGGATTGTGGCGGGGATTTGGCGGCTGGCGGGGAGCACGTGTCTAAAAAAGGAGCTTTAGTGATTCAGGAAAATCTTAGTGTAATTGCTCCTTTAAAATGCGGAAAAATGCCTTAAAATCACAAATTACAGTACCTCTGTTGGTGCTCTCGCTAGCTGTCCTTTCACGGTGCATGTCAAAGCCGCTGTCGTTGAGTTGACGGTTTTGGAGTCTGAAAAATTGGATTTTAAAAAAACGCAAATTGAAAGTATGCTCCTCTAGACTTGCTGCTTTTAGGATGCGAATTCTTATTTTTAAGCCTATCTACCTTATCCGTCCCTTTAAAATCAATCTAAAGTTATCGACAATTTTCCGCCACACTCCGCTGTACACCTCAATACCTGAGCGTTTGCAGGAGACTCATTCGACGCCGTCGCGGCGCCCCATAAAAGGAATTGCAGTAGGAAGAGCCGCCGGGCAGGACGTCATCCGCCACGTCCACTGTAATAAACAATTATATTAAGGGAATGCGGTAAATAAATTAAATTGACGGTCCAGGCCAAGATTCAAACAATATCCGGGCTGGACAAATGTTGGGGAGTGGGAGAATGGCACGCAAAATAAACTTTTTGTAAAAATATTATGAAATTCTTAATGACTTAGCTCTTAAAATTTTCCAGATGTTTGGGAGCTTAGGCTTAGGCTTAGGTTTAGACTTAGGCTTAGGCTTTGCTTAAGCTTCGCTTAGGCCTCGCTTAGGCTTCGCTTGGGCATAGGCTTAGGCTTTGGCTTCTGTAGAGTTCCGGCTTAAAATTAGCTTAGGCCTTGCCTAGATTTCACCAGACTTAAACTTGACTTACTTTACCTCACGTTTTACCTGTATTTTTCGTGTTTTTTTATGGTTTTTAAGCTCGATTTCAACCCCCCTTTCTACTTCATCTCAAAATAGCAAGCCCCCCCACCGGTTTCCCCAACCTTCCCCCCGATCCGCCCGGAAGTGCGTGGAATACGCCGGGCTTTCTATGCCCTTTCGGGCGCTTTTTAGAAAACACTTTTCGCCGTCGAAACCGATGCTTTTTGCCGCGTCGGCTTTGCGTAAATTTTAGCGGGAAGCTTCCGCGTTTCAGGAGTTGTGTCCCCGACCCCCCGGCCAAGATAAACGGTTTAAAAACGGGCTGGGCCGTTCTTGGGAGCCCATCGCACGGCCCGGGCGGGGCACATGGCTTTTGGGGGTGTTGAAAAACGACTAGAAATCGTATAGCCTGGTGGGGGTTCGGTCCCTGGGGATTGGTCGAAATCTTGGAAACAGATTCCGGGGGCCAAGCTTGACATAGAGGGCTGCTATTGAAGGTAATTTGGTTTTAAATATAGAACTTGAAATTTTATAATTAGGCTTAGACTCAGGCTTGGGCTTAGGCTTTGGCTTAACTCGGGCTTGACGTAGGCTTGCCTTAGGCTTCGGCTTAGGTCTACGCTACGCTTAGCTCCGGCTGAACGCAGGCTAGGTTAGGCTTAGGCTTAGGCTTAGCTCCGCCCTAACCTAGACTTGATTTAGGCTTAGCTTGGCCTAGGGTTAGGCTTAGATCGGGCTTAACGTAGGCTTGGCTTAGGCCTAGGCTTCGGTCTAGGCTTAAAGGCCACGGAAAGCCATATTTTCGCCATATTCTGTCTGCGCCGAACCTTTTCAATCCTAATTTGCACATTTTAAAGCGCTTTAACCTTTTCAAACAAATCCAATCCATTACCCGGGCGGTTAGTATAAATTTTTAAGGCTAAAAAATTTGCATAAATTCGAATGATGTCACTTTATGCAAATTCCGAGCCTTCGAATCGTAAACACAAAAAACTCGGGTTAGTAAATGGGGATTTTCAGGGGGGAATAGTTGCACACTGCTTACCCGGCTCTCGGCACCACTTTGCTTTAATGGGGAAAAGGACAGTATGGAAATTCTTTGATAAGAAATTTACCACTGGTCCCGCGGCGGGCGAGGCGTTCGCGGATCGGGACGTGTGGGACGAGAGGCGAGCAGAAGGGCTCTGGAAAAGTGGATTTAATAAAAAGGTTTATAAGATACATTATTTTTATCGCTTTCTAAAACGCGTTTTGATTTACCTAAATTTAATGGAGTATTTAAATTTTCAAGTTTTCAAGCATCGAATTTTTCAGTTTTTACTTGATATTTTGCCATATCTTTTTCTTTTTTATCGAGGTTTTAGTGTACTTATTAATCAAAACTTCAATCTACCATTAAATTCGATTTTTACAACTTTCTGTCGTTAATTGCTTTTTTAACGATTTGATTTTCTTCATTTACCGTATTTTTTTAATTTTTTCCAGGCAATCCGGAAGTTTTTTCCCGTTCCCAAGTCGCTCTGTGTCTTTCCTTTCCTAAATTTTTTTGCGATTTTTTTGCGGGGTCCATCCGACCCATCGGGGCGGGAACAATTAGTGAATCAGTCACGGAATGGGTCCGGTGGGTCGGGGGATGGGATTTCTAGAGGTTTCTGTGGGCTCTAAATGGCGTAGGACCCAAGGGTTAAAGCCAATCGACAGGCAATGGGGCCCAGCTCTTAAAGGGACAGGCAAGGCAATATTAGAGATTTAGGTCATCCTTTTTTTATGGCTTCTGGCGCGCGTTGCGTGCCGCGGCTGAGGCCAAATCTGTAAAACCTTTAAAAATCTATGCCTATCAAATCCAAGTTATGGCTTGCCGGTCCCTTTAAACCCAAAAATTTTCGACTCTTACTGTAACCCTCTTATGGTCGAAGTGGAAATTCCATACGTGAGATAGCACATTTTGTGCAGAATTTTTTGCTGATTCAGAATCTGCTTTCAAAAGTTGCGGAACTCCTCAGATAAAAAAGTTACAAGCGTTTTTAATACCCAAAATGCCACAAATCGCTTACTTTAAAACGCTCTAAAAATTCCGTAAAATACTTTTGGGAGGAAAGTAAGACATTTTCCGGGGTAAAAAACGTGCTCTTTTGAATGGGCTACCACACGAACCCGTAGCTCAAAATTTGCAAAATTTCGAAAATCGACCATCTTGGGAAAGGGTCCGCAAAAAAAAACCTTTTGCAAATTTTGAGCTACGGGTTCCTGAGGTAGCCCATTCGAAAGAGCACGTTTTTTTACCCCGGAAAATGTCTTACGTTCCTCCCAAAAGTATTTTACGGAATTTTTAGAGCGTTTTAAAGTAAGCGATTTGTGGCATTTTGGGTATTAAAAACGCTTGTAACTTTTTTATCTGAGGAGTTCCGCAACTTTTGAAAGCAGATTCTGAATCAGCAAAAAATTCTGCACAAGATGTGCTATCTCACGTATGGAATTTCCACTTCGACCATAAGAGGGTTACAGTTAGTGTCCAGCCCCTAAGACCTAGATATTTTGCGGTGGTCAACATGTGGGCCCTAACGGCCCTTGGGGCCCACTAAGAAATGAGCTTCCCTCGGCGATTGGACCAATTATCGGGGGGGAGCGGGTGCACATCTGTGGGTGTATGTGTATGTAAGGACGTTTCCAGACGAAATGACGAGATTTTTCGGGTGAGGATGGGGCGCTTATTAGGGCGTTCAGTATCCACTCAAAAAAAGCTGGTGGACTGAGGAGCGACGCGGAACTTTTTTGAGTTTGATGTAGGGGCAGGGGTGAAGCCAATTTTCTTGGAAATTTTTGTGGGTGTCTGGGTGATGTGGAGGGGAGTAGGATGATCGAAAAACATGAAAATCAGCTTGATCAATGTTCTCATAATTGCCGAAAGTAACGGTTTTCGAAATATCAATTTTGGAAAATCCGAATTTCAAAAAAATCGATACTTTCGGGATTTCGGTTTTAAAATACCGAATTTTTCGCAAATCTCAAAATCCAATGATAAGGAATGCCACCAAAAAATTAATATTTTTTGCTATATTGCAAAATTCAAATATTAAGCGTAAAATCAAAAATTAAAGAATTAAAGCCTTTAACTTAAAGGTTTTCGGGTATTAAAATATTGATCATATCCTTATTTTTAAGACCGAACGCTTAACGCTTAACAGCCCAACGGCCTTAAAGTTTTTGTGTGATTAAAAATTTCGTGATTTTACGCTTAATATTTGAATTTTGCAATCTAGTAAAAAATATTAAATTTAATATGATAAAATTAGATTTTTATCATTTTCAGGAATTTAGATTCAGTCCAACTAACCCCCAAGAAGCTCCCCCGAAATTGACAGCGTTGCCCGGGACCAACTCGTTCTCCCGAGGAGTTTCCATTTAATTGGACTACCCCTCTCAACATCCAGGGGGGATGGCTTTACCCCTAAGAACTCGTATTTCAACAAGATCCACTTGCAAAAGGCGACCTCCGTCGCGTCGTCGCCGTAATTATAAGGTGTCGCGTAAAAGGTCGCGTTTTTTTGAAAAAGGCGAGGTCCAACTAGTGAAAATTGGGCTCAAAGGTCTGAGACATTTCTTGAGCTCCTTTTCATCCGGCTGCTGCTCTGCTAATTTCGTTCAATGATCCGCATTTTTAGGTAGGGTTACTGAATTTTTCAGGGTCAAGGTATAGAGAAATTGAAAATTTCTACGGCCAGCTATTAACAAAATTGAACGGCGCGGATTCGTGCTAAAATGTGACCTGTTTCGCTGGTCTCCTTACTGTAAAATGAAGTTATCTTCTGAGGCTTCAGTAGGCTAGGCATCGCCAGAATCGACCCCCTCCATTAGGTTTAGACAGCTACGCAAGGCTCTAAAAACGCAATAAAACTTGCGATCTAGGCGTTTTTTGGCTCATGATCGGTCGTCGAGACCTAGCCAATTACGGGGCGATACACGCTTTATTGCCCCCTTAGATATTCGAAGAATTGCAAGATTCGACCTGGGCGATTTCTAGGTCTGGGCAGCTACGCGCGACTCCAAAGAACGTTTTTGGACCTAGGGAACACCCGCAAAACAAAAGTGTTAAGAAAAAAAAGCATTTTCCGCCGCCTTACCAACGACAGCCGGCGGTTCGACTGTTGATGTGATCGACGCGCGATGCTGGGCCAAATAAGCGGCCGGTGGGATAAGCGAAGCCCGGTGCTGCATATGCTTAGCCTTGCTCTTCTCGGCCTCGTCCATCAGGAGCCGGAAGACAATGTAGTCGTTCATCATCGTTTCGGAGGAGGTCTGCAGCAATACGGTAAAGACCGGAATACGAAAAAGGAGAGCGTAAAGTAGCAAAAACAATTGGAAAACGACTACGGTAAAAGTTCTATACTAAAATTTTTTGCACCTTTCAAAAGTCCACTTGGTTCAATTGTACGTGAAATTTGAATAATTCAACGTGACCGGGGATTGGATTACACTATATTTTGCCAAAGAAATCCGATATGAGAGCACCGATTTCCGGTCAGGAAAGGCCAGAAAAAGCGCAAACGGTCTCTGCTGGCTTGCCTAGGATAAGCCTCGAAACATTAAAGTCAGTTAAATCCCTTAAAATGGGCATAATTTGCATAAAAAATCGTGTTAATACGATATAAGGTACCAGATGGTTACAGTCGCTTCGCGACTGCAACCATCTGACCTTCGGGCTACCCTACATGTCCCACTCCACCACATCCTTTCCCACCTCCATCAATACCCCCGATAGCCGAAATCCGGTTCAAAAACTACCTAAATACCTTCCTGATGGCTTCGGATACCCCCCATGGCTGAAATCCCCTTCAAAAACTACCTAAATACTTTCCCGATGGCTTAAGATACCTCCCCAAGGCGAAATCCTCTTAAAAAACAAAAATAACGACCGACCGGATGGAATGAGAGAAAAAAAAGAAATGAAATCCCCCGTGAAAATTTTCATCCTCGAAACGCGCGCCATCTGGCTCACTATGTCCAAGATCACTCCAGCCTCCGCCCCCACCCCTTTTACTAAGGAAAAACTTTCAAAGTTAATTTAATAATTTAAACTAAAACTTTTTCATAATTTTTTTATCAGTTTGGGGGTTTCTGACGGCGTTCTATCCGAATCCGAAGAGAGCCAAGCTCTAGCTCCTTTCCCCTTCGAGTTGAATTCGGCTTCAGACGGACAGACACCACAACTTTTTTATTATAGTTGATTCTCGATATAAGATATAAGCGTTCCACAATTCTGAAATTTCAGAAAATTCGCAAAATAAGTTTAGCTAGCCCGGACCCTTAACCGAATAATACCATAATTTCCGGCTCGCGCCTTTGCCAAATTCTCAAAAGCTGTCAAAAATCCCTTACCATTATTGCCTGTTTCCGGAGCATAACTTCACAAACAAGTGAAATAGCGCACTTTTTCCGACGTTTTCAAGCAGTTCAGAATACTGAAGCAAGCAGAGAACCGAAACTCTTAGATCCCCACTAATATCCGGTTGCGCCGAAAAAGAGCGGTCAAACTAGATTCCCCTCCGTTACACCTCTATTGACGTCTTTACGCCGAGCCAAATTGGATGTAGTCCCGAAATTGGGTTATAATCAAGGGGCGGCTAAGCAGTGATTTGAGAAATGGTCGGGTACAAGCTGGTCGGCTGGCGTTTGAGGTCTGAGGAGTTTGAGATTGAGATCGAGAATCTGTGACTCGAGCGTTGCTAGGCTATCAGGGTCAGCAGCGTCTCAACTTATCACTTATTTATTTGCATAGATAAATGGAATCGTGTGGGAGGTGAGCGGGTGTTGAAATTGAGATGAGAGGATGGATTCCGAGCCATGAAATATTTTTTAAGCGAAACGTTGGCAGCTGGCAAACGAAATATCTGAACTATGGAGTAATTTCAGAGTTTAGCGACTTAACAAAACAAAATTAGCCTAGTAGCTGCGTCGATGGTCGCCTAGCGTAGCCTCGGACGAAACTACGTTGGGCTCCTTTGAACACGCTGATTCTGTGCGTGCTATACAAATTCAATTTTTTAGCGTAGCAAGGCCCAAGGCGTAAAATTGTCTTAACCTTGTAATCTTTCTATCAATTCGATTAGTTAAAAAGGATATCTAAATAAAGCCTTAAAAAGTAATACTGAAACTATAGTACGGTATAAATTAAAACTTCAAAACATCGCAAACTACTAGAGTTTTTGATTCGCTAAACTACGCTCTTCCCTCGAAAACGGAAACACTAATTAACAATTCTCGCTCCTAAGCCCTCGCCGCGACGCAATGGCTATTTTAGGCTCCCTTCAACTACCGGAATAGAGCTGGGCAGCCCGCGATTTTCCGGTCGAAAGAAGGGCCCGGGTCCCCTCAAAAAAGCAGAAAAGTAGCCGCCCAGATGGCCGGACCATGGCCGGAAGCAATGTCCGCATTGGGTCTCCCCAAAAAAGCCGAATAATTCCGGTTCCAAGGCGCGTTTTTGGGGAGGTCGTCCTCCCCGTCCGTCCGTTCGATGTCGAATTGGATTTTCCGGCGGCCGGGACCTCCCCTCTGGGGGGCGTGTAAATATTGGAGGGGATCGAATTTCACAGCGCTGGTTGGACGAAACGGCTTCTTCTTTTCCCCTACTTTTTCCGGGCTTTTAGAAAGCCCAGGCGCCACTTTCGCGTGTCCCCCATCCCGTCGACGGGGAGCAGTTCAAAAAATTGGAGGTGGTCGACGAACTTTTCTATTTTTTGGAGTTTGCGATGTTCTTGAGGGGGGTTTGGAAATTGAGACGTGACTCCCACACACGCTAGCCGTGGGGCTGACACGTTACTGGGGTCAAAATATTTGCTCCCGGCAACGAACGAATTTGAGAGTGGCGTTTTTTTGGTTTTTGGGAGGTCAGAGGCCAAAAACCCGATATTTAGACTACAGTAACCGAAAGACTACAGTAGGACCGCTTTGTAATCTATCGTATTTAGCTAGCCAGATCGGAAAAAAATGGAAAATTGGGATTCAGAAAGTCGCGGAATTTTAAAGAATCTTTCAGGGATTTTCGAAAAGTCGGAAAAATCAAAAAATTCGTTTGCACCTAAATTACAATAAAAATACCGGCTCTAGTTTGTTTTGTCGGAAAAACGCCTATAAAACCAGATCATCGCGGGAATTAAAAAATTCTAAGTTTTTCGCCGATTTCTGGGATCATCAGAACGAAAAAATCCGTTAACAACCAATTTAAAAAATTTAAAAGACCTCGCCGTTGTATTCTTCAACCTAAAAAACCAATCAAAATTTTAAGCCATCGCTGAAACCTGGTAACCCGAGGTAACCTATACAAAAATGCACGTCAGTAGGGCCCAGCTCCCCGTTCCAGGAAGCCCAAGGAGCCCAATTATAGTCCATCGAACCTGCCAGAGTACGACATACATCCCACTGACGCTCAGAACAAGGCTCAGAACTCGGTTCAAAAAACCTGTCCCCACCAAAGAACGATTCTGAACGTTAAGACGAGCTTTATGTTCTTGTTCTTTTAAAACCAACGTCTCAAGCCTGCCAGGCTCCTTTAAAAACAATAACATCACATCTGGCAAAGCCAACAAGAATCACAAGTGGATATGTTGGAGCTTTATCCCTCCCTTTCCAACCAGCTGTGGCTATGCACCTGGTTTTTGAGCCGTGAAAGCCGTTTTTTGCCCCCGAGCCAGAACATGTGTGGCGGCTCCCGAATCAGCCGGGCTTTTGGATCCCCCACAACTTGGTTAGGGTCAAGAATCCGGCACAAACAGCCCGCTTTTGCTGGGGGCTTTTGCACGGCTTTTTGAGGCTCGATCCTCGGAAGGGGGCAATAGGATTACGGTAGCTTGCCGGGGGGTATGTGGGGAGGAAAGTAGCGTAGTTGCCGTAGGAAAAGTCAATAATTCGGGCTTGTACTCCCAAAATGTTAGGCTTCGACTTGGCGTAAGCTTAGGCTTAAGCCTAGGCCTGGCTTCGCGAATCCGTTGCCCGTTGCGTGAAATTCCAGACGACACCTCTAGACGTTTCACACTCTAACGCCCTAACATAACGGAAATTCCAAAGCCTCAGACTACGCTCCCGACGCTCCGACACCTCGCGCCCACTTTCAATTAAGATTGTCACCGCCGTTGGATTTCTCTCTACCCAATTCCACGCTTTTCAAATTGACTGCACCCCGCCGGGCCGTCGACCACCCGGATCGACACGTAGCCACCGGCCCCCAAAAAAAATGCCTTGAGATGCTTAAGAAAACAGCGTTGGGATCGAAGTTCTCGGGTGTCCAAGTCGGCCCATTCCTCCCCCGTTAAATGAGGTACCCCATTCCCCACGGCGGGCCCCGCAGCGTGGCTATCGGGGGGTTTTTTTCTGGCAGCCGGAAATCAGGGGCGCGAAATAGCGTCGTGGCGCGTGCCGGAAAATTTATTGGGTATCGGCCAATTTTCGGGTGGGGGTCAGCTGGTTGGTTTGACGATGGTTTATGGGGGTTTTGGGTTTTGGGAATAACGTTAAATTCTGCGACTTTTTAGAAAAATGTTGAGAAGTCGGGACACGCAACGCCGCCGTAGCGCGTTCACAACCTTCCGCTTGAATTATTAGAGTTTTAAAAAGCCAAAAATGGAGTAGAAAATTTTTCAACGAACGCGCAAGTTACTGGTGTAAAGAGGAGCCACTCGTCGTTATGTCAATGGCTACGCGACGCACCTATTGACATACATCTATTGTGAGCACATTCCTTATCCAATCGTCTGCAATTTAGCGTATTACTTGAACTTTTAAACATTGTTTAAGGACCTATTAAACCCAAAACTCCACAAAACAACCCCGCTTCCTCGTAAATAACCCACTAACACCACCCCTTACTCCCAAATCCCATTTCCAATTCTGCACGCGGTCAGAGCCGTTTTTTGCGCGGAAAAAATCCAAAGCTCAGCCGGCCATCCAAAAAGATTTATTCCGGCTGCGTGCCGGATTATGGAGATGAGTGCGGGTGTCCGCGGGGGGCTTTAGCATTGCAGTGTGGATGGGGTGGAAGTGGAAAGCGTGTTGTGTGTATTCGCGTGTAGTTGACATATTTTTGAAGCTGGGGGTGGGGGTCCAAGTTTTTCAATTAGGATGGCAAGGTTTTTAATGCAAAAAAAATGTTGAAAGAATGTTTTGGGTTAGAATCGTATCGTTTGATGTCGTTGTCGTTGTAATGCCGTAGCCGAACGTATCGACATGTATCAAGCATCGTAGCGTAGCGTAATAATATTCGTATTATAGTATTAGCGTATCCTAGCGTA